TCCTTCATTAAGACTGAATGTGTCAATGAATAGTCAAAGAATATATCATTGAAAAAAAAAATTAAGACTTTTAAGATTATGAAAAGTTTCCTTCAGTTGCCACTTAAGTTTTGTTACGATTGTTTTGTTCCCGCCCTTTTTTTTTTACAAATACTAATGAGTTAAAGAGCAAATGTGAATGAGGTTACGATCTACCTTTAATAAATCCATAGATATAGTCCTTATAATCCATTGAAATATATCAAAAAGTTTCCATTCAAAATTAAAAAATGAGTTTATTCTATGATCAAATATATTAGTGAAATTATCTCACGGAGACGGTTCTATAAAGGGTGGCTGCGATCTCCTGTCTCGATTTGAATAATACGTTTTTCTTTAACAAAATACGCAATTCAAAATTTTTCTTTTTAACGAAATACAGAATGGTTTTTGATTGACCCCGCTAGCTTATATAATAAGAAAGTTATAGGCATGGTAATGTGCTTCACGAAAAAGAAAAATCAACGGTAAATTGAATCTTGGTATTTTTGCTTGCACTCTTGTATTTTAGATCCCTTAGAGCGAATTCTTTTTTTAATAGACGCATCTTGAAATTCTCTACAAAATCATACCTAAACTTTTATTTCAGAACTCCTATCAAGAAAACTAAGTAAATTATAAACGAGCCGCAAAAAGATGAAAACTTTGTAAATTCGGAATTTTTTGCGACTTGAACTTTTTCTTCTTCTATTATTTTCATGAAAAGCTTAGAAAAAGTGATAACTCAGTTTGTGTTTAATACATTTGAATGCATTCTTTCTCGTTTTCTCTAAAAAAAGATTTTTTAGAGCACATGATGTGCCCGAGAATGAAGTTTCAAAAGTTGAAAACCTCCATTTCCAACAATGTGCCCAAGTAAGAAACAGAAAACGTGATCGAAGTTTGATTTTGCAGTTAGACAGAGAAAAGCAATCATTTCAGATTAAAACAGAACGAACCCGATCGAAGAGTCTTTTGTTTTGATGTAGTTGCGAAACTTTCAATGAAAGATCCAACATACGAAGAAAGTTCATAGTTAATTTTTCTTTTTCGTAAAGCACATTGCCAAGCCCATAATTTTCTTATTATATGAGCTATCGAAGTCAATTAAAAACCATTTTGTAAAGCGTCTTTTACTGCATCTTTACGTTAAAAGAAAAATTTTGAATCGCGTATTTTGTTAAAGAAAAACGTATTATTCAAATCGAGACAGGACTTCGCGGCCACCCTTCATGTGCTGATCTATATGCACGAACTTTATTCTGTATATATATATCCATAATGAAAAATAAACAAAACATACAGATGTATAAGTAGAATGAAAAGAAAAGAAAGTACTAATAGATAGATCAAAGAAAATGAAAAAGGACAGAGGATGATATTAAAGACTGATGATGTCAACGTGCGACATCAACGTACCATATGTTTTCCATAATCAACAGTTCTCGATTAGGCATAATCATTAATCATTGATTTTTTAGCATCAACATTCATCGATAGCGGAGAAGAAAGTGAAGCGTAAGAAAAAGCAGCATCATCGAGTAAAAGAAAGCAATGGTGACATTCAGTACGACCAAACAAGAATTATAATTCATGATGAAATAGTGAATGATTCTCAACAAAATGGAGAAGAAAATGTTGATGAACGACGAGGGACAATAACAACAGAAGATACCAATGAGGCGACCGATAACGTTACCTCAAGAAATCGTGTGTATGTTGAAACTGTCACAGAAGAAATAAATCCAACAATTAAGAACGATGTCAGCGAGTTTGAAAAATCTCTTAGTCCTATTTTGGGTTATGCCGAAGAGCCTTTGCTGCCACTCGTCAAAGCATGTGCTCCATTAAACGACATCCTTCACGATTTATCGAAGTATGTTCAGCTGGCATTAGACGAAACTCCAGAAGAACCACCTGATGATTTGACAATTGACGAAAGTGCTGCAGTTCGACTCTATACGATTGAATGGGATAAACCACATCGAAGTCTCTATTCAATGCTCAATTATACTTTGCAGACAGGTACTCGAGAAGATGTTCGACCTTACTTCAAATATCTCAAACTATTCTTAACTGCTGTGATTAAACTGCCATGCCTTTCACCATTGACTGTCTGGCGAGGAGTAACCAAAAATTTGAGTGCAGAATTTCCACCTGGCACCTTAATGACATGGTGGCCATTGTCATCATGCACAACATCACTAACCGTGCTTGAAAACAGTATGTATTTGGGTAATGCAGGTAATCGAACGCTCTTTTCCGTCGAAGTCATCAATGGTCGAACAATACGTGCTCATTCACATTTCGTCACCGAAGATGAAGTTCTTCTTTTGCCTGGTACTTACATGGAAGTTCAATCGCAAGTGAGTCCAGCACCCGATCTTTATATTATTCATTTGAAACAATTAATACCGGAGGAAATCCTACTAGAACCACCTTTTGAAGGTATTGCAAATGTTTCTAATTTTTTGTTTTACATAAAAATATTTTTATGTTTAGGTGCACATATTTTTCCAAAAATTCAGTAAGTCTAATCTCATTATATTTTTCACAAGACCTTTCATCATATTTATAAGGAGACCTTGGTATCGTAAGAAGAGATTTATCATTCCAATCTGCTTGTTGATAGCTATATTCATCGTTGGAGCTATTATCGGTGCAGTTGTGGGCTTAAAACTTGCTGCTAACAAGAAAGGTAGACTTTTCATGATGTATAAAACTCAAGACAAGTGATAATTTCCAGGAGAAATGCACATTAACTGTAGAGTACGCGAAAGTACAAAAGTGACATCGTACTATGTTACAAAACTGCAACCGATAAAACATTGATCAATCGGTTGTGTGTAATCAGTCTGAAAATCTTTCTGATCTATTCAAGAAGTATTTTTTTACTGATGAAATTCAGTGAATCTGTGCGAAACTAGTTTTCAAAAATGTCAACGACAATTTTTTGAATAAGCTTTCAACAATTCAAGCTATCAAAATAGGATTTTCACTGTTGAAAAGAGTGATATTGAGGACGTCGATTTCTATAAAATTCGTTAGGTTAAAAAATCTTTTTTGTAATTGTTTTCACACGGCTATCTGTTTTTTTTGTTTACTTCCATGAGTTTTCGTGACGAGTTAGTATCCATTTACGTCAAAATGTTCTTCCATTTTGTGCAAAGTTTGCAAATCTTTCTATTTTATTTTCAAGTTTTTTCTTCATGCTTTGATGTTAAAATATGAAAACTTCGCAGGAAATACAAGAAGACTTTGGCTACATTTTGACATAAATGGATGCTAACTCGTCATGAAAACCCATGGAAATAGACAAAAAATAAGATAACCTTGTGAAAACAACTAAAGAAAAGATTCTTTAATCTATTGAACTTTATACAGATCGATGTCCTCAACATTGCTCTTTTCGACGATGAAAATCCAATATCCATAGCTTCAGCACTTTAAAACTTATTCAAAAAATGGTCGTTGACATTTTTAAAGAATCTGACATAAGTGGGAGTTATTTTGGATGAATGAAAAAGACACTGATACAAACCGATGAAATCATTAGCAATGGTTTCACCAAACTCATATGAGAAATTCTCGCACAGTGTGGTCAGTCTGCAAGTCGATTTGAATGGCTGGATTTTTGTCAATATAGTGAAAGCTCACTGTAATTTCACTAATAATTGAGTAAAGTCTTAATAACGAAGTTTGAGGAATTCTGTCAACCTAAACTAATCTTTATTAAAGAGAATGGCTAAATTTATTTTTTCTTTTCATATTTTTAATGCACCAGTACCATTTTTTGCTAAACTCGAACAGAATATGGTCGTATTTCAACAGATTTGTTTTTATTGAAAGACCGATAAAATAGAGGAAGTTTTAAAATGAAAATTTCGAACTTACAAGTAGCTCAAAGTGCAATGGATCAGATGAAAAGACAGGCAATGGTGTAACTGGTTTACTTCTATTTCTTGTCTCATTGTTATCAATAAAGAAATGACTACTTTTGTAACTTTCATGACTTTTTTGCATGAAGTAACTTCTATGACTTTGCAAATCATGGAAGTTTTGCTTTACATCCATACTATTATAATAAAAGACACTTGTGTGTCTATCTATCTGATCCAGGTCAAAAGTTGAAGGTTAATGCTCCAACGCTTTTGCGATTATTTAAAACTTTCGAGAACAATGCATAGCTACTCCGGATTGTATTTAGCTTCAGAACTTTCTAGAACATTCTATAAGGTACCACATAGTCTGGCCAAAGATCCGAATTGAATATATTATTATTAAGAATACATTGTTGTGCAAATTCTAGAAAACTTCAGAAATGGTTTCACTTTTAACTTGTGACCTAGGACAGATTGACGGACAGACAGCTTTATTTCACTAGAGTTTTCCAGAACATTCTAGAATGCCCTCGAGCAATCCTTCAAGATGGTATATAAGGTAACGTTTTCCAACGACTAATGACCGGAGCAATAACCTATACTATGAATGTTTCCTTTTTATATAATCAACTCAAGGTCTGTTACCTTGTATGTCGTATAAGCAGAAGCGAGGCCGCAAGTTCTTTGCTAGTATCCTACATTTAGTACATTATTTGAATACCACTGTGGAATCTGACATTTTGAGATATGATAAAGAACGAAAATATTCACCACTTTCGATTTCAGTTCAATAGGAGTATAATCGATACTTAGGACAACTATCGAAAGGAATCTTAATTAACGAGATACAACCTGTTTTATTATCACTTCCGTAGCAAAACGAAGATAGATGGACAAAAAACAACAAATACAAAGAATAAGAATATGCAGAAACAATGATAAATCAATTATGAACCTGTATTTTGATGAACATGTTAAAGTAATCGATCTATTTCTGCATGAACTTCTTTCCCAATTCAACTTTCACTTTAAAATGGGACAAATGAGGAAGGAAAAACTGAAAAAAAAATGATGCATTTCCTAGCATTTTGATCCAATAATGACAAGTGATTCTATTCTCTGTTATTTATCGAATAACTTTCAGTCGTTAAATGCTATTGAGGTGGAGCTTTCACTATTCTGATTTTTACACATAATGCAAATGAATTTTGCGAGTCAATTAGTTCTCTTTAAGGCATAGAAAACTGCCGAAAGAAAGATTGCAAAAGAAGTTGTTTTGTTCCTTTAGGAGAATCCTATTATTAAAACTACAAAAATGAGTTTCTAATCATGAAACATTTGTGTATATACTGTTCACCAATGTATAGTACCGAAATATTTTTACCAATGAAATATAAACATCAACAGCATGACAATTCAAATCTTGAAATCAATCAGTACTTTCTTTTACGAAAGTTTAATGAAGTACTTAAATTCATCGTGGACAACGTAACACAATTATAGAAAGTGATATACGCAGTTATTTCGATTGCTTCTTCAACAGACATTTCTAGTAACTATTCGGGTTGTTATTTGACTTCTATGCCAAATAAAGTATTTAAAATGAACATATGTATATTCTCCGTATAGAGCGAAAGAAAGCCTAACGTTCTGCATTCAATGTTTCATTTTCACTTAGTACGCATTATATTTGCATTCTTTCTTCGTTTCAAATAATTGATATGACATTGAAGTTAAATAATGACGCGAACTGTTATTAATAATATTTGTTGAAGAAGCAATCGAAATGATTACGTATATTGCTTTCTATAATTGTGTTATGTTGTCTGTAATGAATTCTTATACTTCATTAATCTTTTTTAAACAAAGTACGGATCGATTTCAAGATTTGGATTATTATGCTCCTTAATTTTTTATCACTATTATTAAAAGAGATAATATCATTAGATATTAAGGGATTTACAAAATGGTTTTGAGTACTTGAAGCTCATCAAGATATAGCTGTATCGGATGACTCTTTCTTTGCATATAAACTACTTTTCTTGAGATTCAGAATGTATAGGATACCTTTTCTATTTAAGTTCGCTAATTGAGAGTTGTTAAGACGCTTAAATTTTTAGATCTACAGATTGAGTATCGAGATGAACCTATCAATATAAAAGTTTACTATTCTAGAAAAAAAGCGTTAGATATTTAGGAAACGTTTTTTAATTTGGTCTCACAATCGAAGAATTTGTATGCCAAGCTAACAAGATTAGACATATTCGAATCAAATCAATGCTCTCAATGATAGACTTACAACTGTTTTAAAATATAGGCTACTCATAACGTATCTAGAAGGATATATTGATATTCTAAAGAATAATAATACAGTTTAAATATATATATGTAAACAAACTATTTATGTTCAGTTTTCTCTTATTTAGTCGAAAATGTTGAAGAACTTGCTTAAGTTTTCAACAACATTATTGTCACGTTAAATTTGATGTCTTTACAAAATCTGATAGGATTTTAGTAGCAATCGATTGGATTTATATTTCAAAAATACCTGACACGTAAGATACTCACATTTCAAATGTACTGGCTTCTCATTTTATGATCTGACTGAGTGATGTAATCTTGTACAGTATTTACTAATTTTCTAGTAAGAAAATGATAAATTCGACAAAAGAACATAAAAGACCTTGATTATGCGAATAAATGTCATTTTGTGAGCTTCTAAGCGCCAGAAGAAGTGACGATAAGTGCAATCTTTTCTTGAATGAAATTCTGCATTCTATTGCACATAAACAATTTCTTCTTTTCGTAATTTTTGAGTAAACTCGAATTGCTCTATAGATATGCGTAGAATGATATTTCCAAAATCAGACTTGTCAAATAATTGCTTATTTCAAAGGATTTCAGTTGTCGTATTCAGCCATTATCTCTGTCTTTTCTTCCTTCATAGCAATTCAATCATTGAAGAATAGAATACAATCTGCACATCATCGGAACAGAAATGAATATGAATAACCACGAATACTTCACAGATATGTTGTATAATATCTTCAATTTGTTGTATGTCCACTCTATAGAAATGAAATCAAATCTGAGCTCAAACATATGAAGGAAACAAGTGAAATCACTAAAGAACTTTAGAAGCAAACAATGTTTTGTTCTAAGTTTAGGAATTCTGTTGTGTAATTAGTTATTATGAAGGACAAATATTTATGGCTCACACTAGATGCAAAGATTTCTTTATTATAATCGTAGGATTGAACATCCTTATCTCTAGTAATCAGTGATCGAAAAAAGTATCATACTGTATTTTGTATTGCTATCACTAAAGATAAAATCAATGCTTTCGATAAGTTATTAATTGACATATATGTCACAGACAAAATTAAACATAAAAAAGTTCGTTTTTTAAATAGGGGTAAAACTACGAAACAATTCGATTTTATTCGAAAATAGGTTATAATTTTCATTTCAATTAATAATAGATACAACGTATTTGCTTATTTTTAATTAATGAGAGAAACTCCTCAATTGAACCATCACTTTTAAGTCGAGACTATGTACATCATGTAGACCCTAGCGCCCTACAAATACTCTGAAAAGAATTCGGGTCTATAGCTTATTGCTGCCGAAATACTGCGTTTTTACGTTAT